TTGAATTAATTAACTATTAAAAATCTAAAATTTTTCATAAAATATGTAACTAATTTAAAAACTTGGAATTTTGAAACAATTATTGCACCGAATTGTATAATTATCAATTTCATTTCATTAATTACTATCTAAATTTGAATTTACATACGAATTGAATTTATCATTGAAATCTAAATTTTAAAATTTAAATACAACAAAATGTAAGAGTGTTTAAAAGTATTAAAATTAAATATAAAACAAAAACCAAACATGAAACATAACTAAAATACATACAAATGAATTGAAATGATACAAATGAAACAACTATTTTAAAATTGTAATGATTTAATACTTTTAAATATCTTAAAATAATTTTTAAAATTTACTAACTAAGTTTTTCGAGTGTAAACTAAAGTATCTCTATTTTACTTTATATTTTTTTCTAAACCTATGTATATCTAAACATTCTATAATTACAAAAATAAGTTCTTTTTAAAGCTAATATTACAACAACATCATCATTATGGTTTGATTGCTGGGCCCTTCGATCGGAACATATTGAAATGAAACATCGTTTTTGGTTGTGAGTAAAATGTAAAATACGTATTTATTTTTGTAATTATTATTTATCAATAGCTATTATATTATATTTTGTCCGATAGTCCGATTTTACTTTGTTTCACATTCTCTTTATTATTTCTTAAACTTCTTTTTTTTCATTTAGTATTATTTTGTCTTTCTTATGAATGAGTAAATATTTTGTTTTGTTTACATCATGATCTCTTTTACTTTTTCTTTTTATTTCAATAAATATCATTATAATTTGTTTTTGTAAATTATAAAACATGCAATTTTAAATTAATTAAAAGGGAAGGATAAACCAGACAAATATGTTGCTTTTGTAGGTAGATAGTATTGTCATTTTTAGGGACAGAAATGAAAATAAGGGTATATGTGTTCTGTCAAGGCGTCTGATAGTATTATGATCAGAAGGGTGGGAAAATTGTACCCCAATGTGCTTAACATCTTGCACCAATAGATTTTAATTTTTAATTGTTTGAAGCATTGCTTTTATTTTAAATACACTCTGTGGTATTTTAAGGCAAGAGAGTGTATTATATGTTTGCGTCATTAAACCGGGTTAAGAACCGTATAGACCACTGAGCTAGCTAAACATCTTTATCTTGCCCTTAACCAAGTTTTTCTATTAAAAATAAGTTTCTTTTCTATCAAGACGAATAATTAATAATTTTTGTTATTCTTTCCGAAACGACGCGTAACAATACATCCTCCTATCAACTTAACCTAACCTGAGTAATTATAACAAGTAAGAGTGTTATATTCGGCTGTGCCGAATCTTGTATACCCACCATCAAATCATTGCCAAAAAGGATTGCTTCCTTATAAATAAACTTTGATATTTAAGAATCGATGCTTTTGTTATTATCAAAACAATTTTCTCATTTATTACATCTATGTTTAGGGAAATTTTTGTCGAAATTTTCTATAACGATTCTAGTTTAGGCTAGTAATGAGCGTTAAAGCCATTTTCCGATGGGGGTAGGATAAATTATGGACCGATCGTTATAAAATTTTACAAAGCGATTTAGGTTTCTATAGAATAAGTTTATGTCGAATTTCATCGCTGTAGATGCTTCTTTTAGACAATTAGGAACCTTAAAGCCATTTTCTGAAGGGGACCTTATATGGGGGGTAGGGTCAATTATGGACCGATCCTTATAAAATTTTACAATGATATTAAAGTTTCTATAAAATATGTTCGTGTCGAATTTCTATAGATGCTTATTTTAGACCATTCGGAGCGTTAAAGTATTTTTCTGAAGGGGACCTTAAATGGGGGGTAGGGTCAATTATGAACCGATCCATATACAATTTTACAAAGCGATTTAGGTTCCTATAAAATATGTTTATGTCGAATTTCATCGCTATAGATGCTTTTTTTAGTCAGTTATGAGCGTTAATGTCATTTTCTGAGCGGGACCTTATATGGGGATAGGGTCAATTATAGACCGATACTTATAAAATTTTACAATGATATAAAGGTTCCTAAAAAATATGTACATGTCGAATTTCATCGCTATGGCTGCTTTTTTTAGTCAGTTATGAGCGTTAATGTCATTTTCTGAGGGGGACCTTATATGGGGGATAGGGTCAATTATGGACCGATTCTTATAAAATTTTATAATGATATTAAGGTTCCAAAAACATATGTTTAAGTCGAATTTCATCGCTATAGCTGCTTTTTTTGTCAGATATGAGCGTTAATGTCGTTTTCTGAGGGGGACCTTATATGGGGGATAGGGTCAATTATGGACCGATTCTTATAAAATTTTACAGTGATATTAAGGTTCCAAAAAAATATGTTTAAGTCGAATTTCATCGCTATAGCTGCTTTTTTTAGTCAGTTATGAGCGTTAATGTCATTTTCTGAGGGGGACCTTATATGGGGGATAGGGTCAATTATGGACCGATCGTTATAAAATTTTACAATGATATTAAGATTCCTATAAAATATGTTTGTGTTGTATTTCATCGCTATAGCTGCTTTTTTTAATCAGTTATGAGCGTTAATGTCATTTTCTGAGGAGGACCTTATATGGGGGATAGGGTCAATTATAGACCGATCCTTATAAAATTTTACAATGATATTAAGGTTCCTAAAAAATATGTATATGTCGAATTTCATCGCTATGGCTGCTTTTTTTAGTCAGTTATGAGCGTTAAAGTCATTTTCTGAGGGGGACCTTATATGGGGGATAGGGTCAATTATGGACCGATCCTTATAAAATTTTACAATGATATTAAGATTCCTATAAAATATGTTTATGTCGAATTTCATTGCTATAGCTGCTTTTTTAGTCAGTTATGAGCGTTAATGTCATTTTCTGAGGGGGACCTTATATGGGGGATAGGGTCAATTATGGACCGATCCTTATAAAATTTTACAATGATATTAAGATTCCTAAAAAATATGTTTATGTCGAATTTCACCGCTATAGCTGCTTCTTTTAGTCAGTTATGAGCGTTAATGTCATTTTCTGAGGGGGACCTTATATGGGGGCTAGGCGAAATCGTGGACCGATATTGCCCATTTTCAATACCAAACAAACTGCATCAATATAAAATATTTGTGCAAAATTTCAGCTTGCTAGCTGCTTCCGTTTGGACTCTATCGTGTTTTCAACAGACGGACAGACAGACGGACAGACGGACGGACATGGCTAGATCGTCTTAGAATTTAATGAGGATCCAGAATATATATACTTTTATGGGTCTTAGATGAATATTTCGATGTGTTACAAACGGAATGACAAAAACAATATACCCCCCATCTTTTTTGATGGTGGGTATAAAAATGAATCAATATATATCGTATGAACAAACGTATATAGCATCAATAGCTTTACGGAGAGTATGACTAATGAATAACACAATTTTTATATAACACATTATTAATAACTTTCAATTGAGAGAAAATTGTTTTTTGTTATAAGATTTAAATACTTATTATTAGGCTAAAGAAAAGGCAAATACAATGATTTCATAAAACGTAAGAAAACGATATGTAGTAGTCATTGAAAAGTATCTAAATAGGTAGGTTAGGTTGATAGGAGGATGTATACTACATCAAATCCGAAGAAATACACCTAGGCCACTATCGGGCCTGTTGTGCGCTCCAATTCAAGAAAAAAAAATTGTTCTAAATAGGTAAGAAAATAGTTTTTTGTTATAAGATTTAAATACATATTGTAAGGCCAAAGTAAAGGCAGATACAATAATTTAATAAAAGGTAAAAAAAAAGTTGCATAGTAGTCATTGAAAAGTATCTAAATAAGTAAGAGTTTATAATGGAACATCACTACCACTGCATTGGCATTTTAACATAATATTTTAAAAGTTCGAAGGCAATTTCATACCACGATCGCATACAAATAAGTACTGAAATAAGTACTCATAAATAGGAGTTCAATATTTGTTTTGTTTTACGCACAGAATACGAACCCCTCGGTCTCACAATCGTTAATACGTTGTCAAAACATCACTTTTTAGTTATTATATTATGAATCAGAATATAGTTTCCACACAAAAAATACTACTTTCCTTCAGACTTTGTAAAAAAACAGTGATTAAATAAATTTTGAAAAATATCCATCATATTCGAAAACACCACTTTAGTGGGGAGGGTATATTGGATTTATGCTGATGTTTGTAACACATAGAACTAATGATCCTATAACTACCTCTATGTACACTAATCGGCTCAGAATCACTTTCTGAGTCAAATAAGCCATGTCGGTCCTTCTGACTGCCCATGTAAAGATAATTCGATGAAATTTGTTAAACGTATTACTTGTGACCCAAGAACGAACCCTATTGATTTTTGTTTATATCAGTCAATTATTTCACCTAGCCCCATATAACCGTACCCCCTAAATTGGGATTTGGAGCTCATAATAATGCCAAATGTACTAATATGCATACAAAAATAGGTACAACTACGTTTTATACAAGCATAAATTACACTGGAAAATTTCGCAAAGAGCGGCCCTTATTTCACCCTAGTTCCACTACAAAGTCCGCCTTTGAAATATTTAACCCTAGCCATCATATATAGAGCCTCTATCAGAAAATCAGTTTTTTATCAAAAAAATTTCGAAATTAAGGTAAAATTCATTTATTATATTTATAATAATGTCTATTATTAAAAATAATACACATTATAGATTTACTCATAACTGGTGTAGTCGGCCCCGCCCGGCACACAATTTTTTAATTTTTTAACAAAACCGTTAATTTTTTCAGTGCATTTTCGAAAGCCTTTAAATTTAATAAAGCAACTTCATATTGCTAAATTTATTATAAACTAAATTATCTCTATTCCAAATTCATTCATTTACAACTCTTTACATATTACTGCGAATAACATTAATAAATAATGTATAACCACAATTAAATAATTATTTCATTTTGAACAACAATAAAAGCACAAATTTACTTACGAAACGAATTTGTACCCGAACTGGACGAACCACGACTTGGACTCTGGCGATGTTTCCACGGCATTATGCTCGTCAGACTTGAATGATGTGGCGGATGGTGATTGCTTGCAGTGTTGTGATGATGATTATGTTGATGAAATTTCTCTGATGATTTAATTAGATGAGTGCTACCATGCATGCCCAAAGGATGATGATTATCATGCTCATCGCAATGAAAGTCTTTGTGTGCAGTATGTTGATAATGGTGCTGCAGCAATTGATGTTGTTGTTTTTGCTGCTGCTGTTGTTGATGTTTTAACGATGCCTGACCATGCATGTGGTTGTCTTTAAGGCCACTACCACTATTTGATTGGCTAAGCATAGTTCCACTACCTGTACCTATGCCCACACTCCCACCGTTACATGCAAGTTGGTGTGTGTTTTGTTGCGTAAGATGCAATTTATGATGTGATGATAGTATGGAGGCCATATCATAGTTGTATGTATCGATGTCGACTAAATTATTAAAACTACGACTGCTTAGAGAAGAACGTAATGGAATTTTATCATGCTGCCTACCTTTCCCTGATGAGGCTGACGTTGCTGACGCATGAAAATTTGGTTGTTGTTGCTGTTGATGCAATAAACTACTGTGATTGTCGTGGTTGTTGGTGTGGTAAAGTCCAGCCATGTTTGAGCATTGTGTCTGCATTAAGTCACGTGAGAAATTTGACCAGGATTTTGAGAAACAACGACATCTTTCATTGAACGGTTTCATGTGTGTTTGTTGCTGCTGTTGGTGCTGTAATTGCTGTTGTTGTGCATAAACAGCCAGCTGGCGTGCATAATCACTACTCGGACCAATAGTGTTGTACTTACTAAGACTTAACCTACTACTATTTTTATAGTGTTGCAATTTCTGTTGTAAATCACGTTGTGATTGTGTAAAGTCTGTAAAAGCCATCGATGCTGACGACGAAGGTGGAGGCACCGCATGACCCAGTCCCATTCCCGTCAACGCCGACTTGTTGTGCAGGAAACATAGTGAAGGATCTGATTTTTGGCTTTTTGGCAATACCATATCATCTTGTACAGCATAGGGCGGGGGGAAATTACCAAAGTATGAGGTGTTGGCTGAGAGTGAATTGTTTTTAGAGGTGTTTGTGACATGACATACATCTGGCTTGCTATGAGAAACCATGGCGTTTAAAGTAGATGCTTGCGTTTTATAGCTACCATTTGTCGTTGTACTAGTATTGGACATTATGTCGGAACCCATGGCATTGGCACATTTCAGTATGGAAGTGGTGCAGTCGTCAATCACAGCTCGAACATCATGACTACTTTTAGCACAATCATTTAATAAATCGCCACTACATAATGTTGCTATTGAACCATTATTATTACTGTTGCTGCTGCTGTTGTTAATATTGTTGTTGTTGTTGCTGCTACTATTATGATGTGACTTATTACTAGAGTTGGTTACATGGTTGCCATTGCACATGGTACCTGATCTTAAAGTTGATTGTTGCTGTTGCTGCAGGTGTTGTAATAAACGTAGACTACGTACACTACCATTACGTTTCATAGCCGGTGGCGGTGGTACTGGTGGAATAGTTTCAGCATCTGATGAACTTAAAGCATCACTCTGTAAAATATTAATGAAAAAAGGTAAAGAATAGATAAGATTTCTGTGAAATTTAAACAATGATTTTCTTTTTAATACTTTTATGTGTTTGAAAAAACGTTTTCTATTTCATAAAGAAAGTATTAATAAAATAGACCTGACCCATATCAATCATTTTAATGAGTATAAATAAAAATAAATCAATAGATTATAGTTGAAAAATGAAAAAAAGAATGGAAAAATATCATTTAACCGTGCAGTAACAATTGATATCAAGTGAAGCTTACAAAATGTTTAATATTTTACAGATAAGTCAATCAATATGAATAAAATTTTATTTTAAGTATTTTTTATTTGTTTGAAAATTTGACTTGCTTGCAAACTACATACGCCACCTCATGAAAATAATACATTTTAATATTAAACCCTTAAGACTGATGTGACATAGTCATAGATAGGCTAGACTAGACTAGACTACACTAGACTAGATTAGACTACACTAGACTAGATTAGACTACACTAGACTTGACATAGACTAGATATAGGCTAGACATAGGCTAGACATAGGCTAGACATAGGCTAGACATAGACTAGACATAGACTAGACATAGACTAGACATAGACTAGACATAGACTAGACATAGACTAGACATAGACTAGACATAGACTAGACATAGACTAGACATAGACTAGACATAGACTAGACATAGACTAGACATAGACTAGACATAGACTAGACATAGACTAGACATAGACTAGACATAGACTAGACATAGACTAGACATAGACTAGACATAGACTAGACATAGACTAGACATAGACTAGACATAGACTAGACATAGACTAGACATAGACTAGAATAGACTAGACATAGACTAGACATAGACTAGACATAGACTAGACATAGACTAGACATAGACTAGACATAGACTAGACATAGACTAGACATAGACTAGACATAGACTAGACATAGACTAGACATAGACTAGACATAGACTAGACATAGACTAGACATAGACTAGACATAGACTAGACATAGACTAGACATAGACTAGACATAGACTAGACATAGACTAGACATAGACTAGACATAGACTAGACATAGACTAGACATAGACTAGACATAGACTAGACATAGACTAGACATAGACTAGACATAGACTAGACATAGACTAGACATAGACTAGACATAGACTAGACATAGACTAGACATAGACTAGACATAGACTAGACATAGACTAGACATAGACTAGACATAGACTAGACATAGACTAGACATAGACTAGACATAGACTAGACATAGACTATAGACTAGACATAGACTAGACATAGACTAGACATAGACTAGACATAGACTAGACATAGACTAGACATAGACTAGACATAGACTAGACATAGACTAGACATAGACTAGACATAGACTAGACATAGACTAGACATAGACTAGACATAGACTAGACATAGACTAGACATAGACTAGACATAGACTAGACATAGACTAGACATAGACTAGACATAGACTAGACATAGACTAGACATAGACTAGACATAGACTAGACATAGACTAGACATAGACTAGACATAGACTAGACATAGACTAGACATAGACTAGACATAGACTAGACATAGACTAGACATAGACTAGACATAGACTAGACATAGACTAGACATAGACTAGACATAGACTAGACATAGACTAGACATAGACTAGACATAGACTAGACATAGACTAGACATAGACTAGACATAGACTAGACATAGACTAGACATAGACTAGACATAGACTAGACATAGACTAGACATAGACTAGACATAGACTAGACATAGACTAGACATAGACTAGACATAGACTAGACATAGACTAGACATAGACTAGACATAGACTAGACATAGACTAGACTAGACTACAGACTAGACATAGACTACAAGACTAGACAGACTAGACATAGACTAGACATAGACTAGACATAGACTAGACATAGACTAGACATAGACTAGACATAGACTAGACATAGACTAGACATAGACTAGACATAGACTAGACATAGACTAGACATAGACTAGACATAGACTAGACATAGACTAGACATAGACTAGACATAGACTAGACATAGACTAGACATAGACTAGACATAGACTAGACATAGACTAGACATGACTAGACATAGACTAGACATAGACTAGACATAGACTAGACATAGACTAGACATAGACTAGACATAGACTAGACATAGACTAGACATAGACTAGACATAGACTAGACATAGACTAGACATAGACTAGACATAGACTAGACATAGACTAGACATAGACTAACTAGACATAGACTAGACATAGACTAGACATAGACTAGACATAGACTAGACATAGACTAGACATAGACTAGACATAGACTAGACATAGACTAGACATAGACTAGACTACTAGACATAGACTAGACATAGACTAGACATAGACTAGACATAGACTACATAGAAGACATAGACTAGACATAGACTAGACATAGACTAGACATAGACTAGACATAGACTAGACATAGACTAGACATAGACTAGACATAGACTAGACATAGACTAGACATAGACTAGACATAGACTAGACATAGACTAGACATAGACTAGACATAGACTAGACATAGACTAGACATAGACTAGACATAAGACTAGACATAGACTAGACATAGACTAGACATAGACTAGACATAGACTCGACATAGATAGACATAGACTAGACATAGACTAGACATAGACTAGACATAGACTAGACATAGACTAGACATAGACTAGACATAGACTAGACATAGACTAGACATAGACTGACATAGACTAGACATAGACTAGACATAGACTAGACATAGACTAGACATAGACTAGACATAGACATAAGCTATATTTTTATTAAAAATGATCACCTTAATGGGTTAAGAATTATTATCCAACTTTTAAATATTTCTTTAAACATTTCTATTAAATGTAAATCTACCTTTTCTTATATTATTTTTTGTTGTCAGAATTCAAGGTTTTTTGCTAGTGTTATTTTCAATATAAATGCAATAATCATTGTAATGAATTTGACCGAAACAAATTCAATTAGGTTGTCTTGGATACACATTCAAGAATCTACGTATTTGTTTCCAACTTTTTAAATAAATCGAAAAGGAAAAATTAAATACTTACGTTTGTGTATTACATTAAAATTCACATAGATACTGGTTTTGTTACAATAAGTATTATTGAAATATACCAATATATTAACCTACTCAGAATCACTCTTTGATTCTCTTGAGAGATATTATTCATAATATCTCTCAAATTTTAGAATAACTTATAGAAACATGGAATCCGACCAGAGCAAGTAACCAAAACTTTGTTATGCATTTTTCGATGATCAATATTGACGATTATAATTGATTATATTTGTGTATTTGTATTTGGATTACTAAGTACTTATGTAATTTAATTAATTTGTTTAAAAATACTTTTAGTTAAAGCAAGTTGGATGAGTTTTTAAGTACATATTTTAACTGCTAAAACCTGTTGTTTACAATTTGTTTTAACAGGATTTCATTTTTGATTTAAATTGTAATTTCTTGTTGTCCAAAAACGAAGGAAGAATAAGCAGTAATTCGAAACTAATATTCATCAACAGACTTATATACATGAATGCACATATTTATATGTATGTCATGATATATGAAATTATATACCTTTAAAATAGAGCATTAATCCATGTGTTAATTATTATTTTATGTATTTTCTTAACAATCTTTTACATTTTCACTATAGTAAATTTAATAAAAAAAATTTACAACAATAATACAAAATAAAAAATTGCATACTTTAAGCACACTTTCTGAAAACTGTTTCGAGTATAGTGTACTTATGTTAGACCTCATTTTTACCAACAATTAAATACATTTATGTTTCCACCAAACAACGCATTATGCAAACAAATACATTAAAGTATATAAAGTGGAGTCGAGAGGGAGTATAAAAAAGGGAAATGGAAAAAAAGAAATATAACAACAGCAACAACAAACAACAACAAAAATGAAATAAGTTAAAACCATTATACTTAAGAGTATACGAGTACTCATACACAGACATTCAATCCTACTAACATATACAACAGCTTTTAAAATATATATACAAACATTGTAGTTATTATTGTAGTAGTGGTAGTAGTACCACTACTGCCAACACCATGATGTACTTCCGTTAATTAAATTTTGAAAATACAAAGGAGTGGTTTGTATAAAAATAAATAAATATATGGATGGATGCATGAATACGACTTTAACTGCAACAAATAAACGAAGTGTTGTATAGTAATAATCCAAAAGGAAAATTTTAATATTTATTTTTATTATTTATTTTTTTGTTTTTGCATTTTTATTCTCATTTTATTAAAGGAAAATTAAAAACTGGCGAAAAATTATCAACAACAAGACAAAAGCGTGGCAATTTCTATAATAATGGCTCACTATAAATATTTCATTATAATATAGATGTTGAGTCCACTCCTTCTTATTTTAAGTGGAATGGTGTGACCAAATTTAATAGTTTTATACATTATTTTATATTAAATGGAGAGAAGCAATTGCAGCATTATGCATTTTTACTTAATACTTAACTAGCTGAAAGAATTTTATTTGAAATTAAAAATGTTTGACTTCGCAAAAATTCAACAAAAGTTGTGCCAATTTGACGTAGTTATGACTTAAAAACCTCAAATCGAAAGGTCTGATTGTATGGGGGATTGTAAGTGAAATAATGGACCGATATCAGCCATTTTCAATAGGCATCGTCCTTGTGCCAAAAAACACGTATGGCCTGTAGCTTGCGCACATTGTTTACATGGACAGCCAGCCGGACATATCTTAATCGACTCAGACATAGACTTGACAGACATAGACAGAAACTGATTCTGAGTCGATCAGTATACTTCAAGGTGGGTGTTGTATCAATACGTTGTACGTTGTAAACATCAGCACAAACGCATAATACTCAAAGGTATAAACT